GAACATTTCGGAGAAAATTCACACTCACTCATTCACTTACTCACTAAGTCGGTTAGTTGAACGGCGCCGTTCAATCCGTTGGATATTAATTCCTGTGCCATCCGCAGGTAATGTTTGTAGACAAATTCATTCTTGATATAAAGTGCTTTATCATTTCAGGTGTTCTTTTGAGAAATTGGTGGACTGGGTCCCAATACGTATTTCCTCTGGTATGAATTTAACGAGGGTTTCGTACACGCACGCACGCACGCATGCACGCACGCACGCACGCACGCACGCACGCAACAAAGCAACAAAGCAATATGGTATAACAAACTTGCGTTATTTTGTTTTTATGATGTTTATACTTCAGATGTACATGATAGATCCTCTAATTAATTTATAGTTCTGGCATAACCTATATTTTTATATGAATTATACTCTACCATAATGCCAATTTATTAGCTGATATTAATCATTGTGAATGAACTAATATTAATCATCGTATGAATTTTGGTTATGATTATAATAGAAATGGGTTTGAATTTGAATAATGGGGGAATTGGAATAAAACAGTATAATCAGCTTCGCATTTTAATTGAGAGAAAAGAACATCTAGATTCAAAGAAGGGATGGCAGTTTTGGTAGAGACTGGATATTTGATCGGTCACTGCTCTCAAGAGTTTTTCTCTGTGAAAAGAGAAGGCGAGCTGTAGAGATTAAGTACATGTAGGTATACAACAATAATTCATCATTTCAGTGAAGGCTGCGACAGTGTCTTTCTCAGCTCCATGTGGAAGGAGGCAATTCCGTGACACCTGGATGACACCATCACCTGTTGGATTCTTCTACAACTCCACATGGCGACAACGTGGATGTTTTAACACCATAACTATGAATGACTATAGCAAATTCCTGGCCAACAGATCACTCAGGATGTATGGTGACTCGACCGTCAGACAATTGTTTACAGTCTTGTACAAAAGGTTGAATCTTACCATGAGAACTGGACCGTGGTTAATTGGGCCCATACCAACAACACAGAAGCGTTACTACTACACTGAGGCCTATGAGAAACAACATAACTATACTGTTGTTTGGATTCCTCATGGTCTGCCAATGTCATTTCAAAATGCAAACAGGACTGCGAGTCGACCCGTGTTCGTCCATTTAGATGAGACACCTGCAGGTTCACGAGACATTATCCTTATTAATCTTTACGCTCATTTTAATCTATTTCCGGTACACATGTTTAGGTCTCAAATGAAACGTACACGGATTTCAATACAAAAATTATTGAAAAATCACCTGATATTAAAATAGCCATAAAAGGACCCCACAATTATATACATCCCATAACAAACTATACTCTAGATGTGCTATGGGGACCTATTTATGAAAACATCATCAAACAGGAGTTCGTTGGTATCTATGATCAGTTGGTATATCACGACATTTGGGACATGACTATTGCTGTTGAAAATACTGATGTCCATCCCACTGAAGATGTTGTGAGTACGATGATTCACACATTTCTTGGATATTTCTGTGCGAAATGAATATAGTTTATTTTAGTTTTAGATGTTGAGAGTATTTAATGAACAAACATCATTTCTAGATTGATCCTATCCTTAAATTTCGACTATACCATGGGCAGAAATAATGAATAGATAGAATGTTCCATTTCATAGGTTAGTAAACTGAAAATACATGATTGAGATTTTGTTGCGTATATCAACTTTCACGTGACAGTATGGTCTTGTTGACTGACATCCGATGCTCTTTGAGTCTGGGGTTAAGGGGTCTGAGGGTTCTCAAGTGTATTGGTGGCTACAGATGCATAAGATCTTGTATATACACCCTCTGGCATTGGGACTTGCGCAGCTTGTGCCTCTTCCATTAGTCCGTAGATGTGTCTAGATGGTCTTGCCGCTAGGAAAGGGGGAATCTATATTGGCTTTGTTCTTGATGAGTCGCAAAAGCGACAGGGCTTTGACGGGGTATGATTGACGATGGGGCAGGCCAGGTTCTTGGTTCGGAGTTCTTGAGTGTCTTGTTGATGGTTTTTGAGATTAGATGGGCAGGGTAACTGTTGAGGGAAGTAAAGGTTTTCTTCAGATAGTTCAGATCAGCTGGTTCAGGTGAAGGCATTAGAATGGCAAATGAATTTGGCACGTCGGGTGAGGGTGCCGATGATGGCGTGATGCCAACATCATCACAATTCAGCTAATGAATCTGTCGACCTGTAGAACGCTTTTCGGTGCTAAACGTATATTTCGACGTCTTCTATCTCGGAGTTGTTGAAGAAATCGTGATGCCTCACTGAACCAGAGTCGCCGCCAGTTTCTCAGTGTCTATGCCTACACGGGGCTGCTCCATCGCATACGTTGTCGTCGATGGAAACGTCTCCTGAATGACAGGGACACATACCGGTCTTCATGGCCTTATTCCCACCAATCGCAGACGATTCCTGATTGTTTAGTCTGATACGTTTATACCCACCTCAGACCTGGCACATGTCCCGCCAACTCGATGGCAGTTCCATGGCGATGACGTAGGTGGAAGAACTTTTTTTGTGCAGGGTGGTGCCTCTTGTTCTATGACTTGTGAGAAGACCTTGGGTGAAACAGAGGCGTGCATTCGGATCCCATAAACGAGATAGGTGTACGTTGAAATGACGTGTAGCTGCCGACTGGGACTCCCCAGCTTCAAGGCGTAATGTGGCGATGTTGTGATATGCAGCATTCAGTCTCGGCATTTTCCCGGTTCCAAACGTCGACAAACGTATGACAAAATATGATTGACGTTTGACCTTTATAATCACTCTCACAGCACATGATTGTCAAAACTATTACTTTCCTTTCCATGACATGCTCATATAAAGCTACAGACGTTTAAAACGGATGCATTTGTGCATTACACCAGTTTGTATTTAATGTTTCATGAATAAACACAATCAGCATTCTCATTATCTCCTATGCGTTTCTGTTTTTGAAGAGTGTATATCAGTTCCACGTAAAAGACACAGAATTGTTCAGTTTGGTCCTTCAGTGTCTACCTTGGGAGTGGTGTGAGCTTCTGCTTCTGCTTTTGGGGGATTTAATTAGAATAACTGAAATAAAATTTTATTATATTTATCATGTACTCTTTTTCCAAATACCATAGCACTTGTGCCAATAAACATGGGCTAAAGATATAGTTCCTGATGATGTAAATAACCATCAATATTGTCGAACTTTTTCACATACAAAAGATATTTCAAATATATTAATCTCCTGCTTATTTGAAGAATATCTCTTGAATGAAAAGTTGATTGCGTATATTAAACAAATACTTTCTAGATATACATTTTACCTGTACTCGGAAAAGGAACTCGCTGATTTAGTTTGTGTTTTTATTACAGACTTTGGGCCAGAATGGGCATACATATTCATGTAATTGCTGTTGAATGCCTGGTTATTTTAAACAAATATAACTTTATTATAGAAGCCTATGGGAAAACATTTGGCTGTGTGTAACCAATATCAATGTTTGTTGGGTACCCTCACATAGTTAGCTCCCTTTGACCGTCCGTGCCAGTTTTGCTATAGCCCATGCTCTGCTCTACAAGGACACCGTTGTTTCCATCCACAACATGACAAGGGCGGTATCTCAAACGGATGGTTACGGCATTTTCGTTCGAAATGCGCTACGTGCATCACGTCTGGACATGGGACAAGTTATCACTCGAGGGTTTTGGGGGATGGTAAATGTCCTATATTAGGAATAAACATTGTATTTAGCGATCCTTGGCTTTATGCTGCCAAGAAACCTAACCATTATATGACAAATACTTACGTTTCCATGTTTGTGTTAATTCGTAATATATATATATATATATATAATATGAGGTGATTTGCTTGTTCCCCCAATTACTCACTTGAAAACAGTTACCACTTCCTTTTGAATGTTCAAATTATGCTGCCAAACACATTTTGTCTAGCCATGGGAGTTAGTTCACTGACTCTAAAAATCCTGTTTCCGTCCTAGCCGAATGGCGTTTTATTTTGGCTTGACTAACGGGTCTATGCACAATCCAATCAAAATCGCGTAACGAAGTCGGCATCCGATAAGTAAACTGCCGTGCAGATGTCGGTCGATTGCAGGATTTGCAAAGCATGTGTACCAACAACACGGCGTCAACAGATATCTTTCAAATCTTTTCACGTTTTTAAGTGCTCACGAGATATGATGTACTTTGGGAAGTAAGACCTGTTTTATTACAATATAGATTCTGATCATCGATCAGATCGCCTTTACTGGGCGCCACCATTTTGTTTGAAGAAGATGCTTCATATCATATGAGATGTGTCATCTGATTGGTCAACAGGAGGGGCATATAAGGGACATAACTCGTTATAGCCACTGGCGGTGCTACGATCGAGCCCATAAATTCCAGCCTAGTTCAGCAGGGATGGAAACTGGACTTTTAAAGTCAGTTAATCCCCATTGCCTCCGGAAGATTGCCAAACAATGTGACGTACAGTATCACCTTTTTTCACATATGGAAATGAAAGGGATTTTGTCCATCACACTGATGTAAACAGATTGCATGTGGGTGTTCTGAAACTATTACATATTTAAATAGAAGTCCGACCAAAAGGTTGGTTTGTTGTTTAACGCCGCACTCAGCAAGATTCCAGCTATATGACGGCGGTCTGTAAATAATCGAGTCTGGACCAGACAATCCAGTGATTATTATCATGAGCATCGATCCAATAAATTGTGATTGATGACATGCATCCACCAAGTCAGCGAGCCTGACCACCCGATCCCGTTAGTCGCCTTGTACGACAAGCACAGTCACCTTTTACGGCAAGCATGGGGTGCTGAAGACCTATTCTACCCCGGAATCTTCACAGGTCCCGACCAAAAAGGTAGCCCTAGGAGAGTTGGGACGATCTCTACTTCAAGCAAATCAGTATGTAAAATATTTGATTAGATTACATTATCAATGAGATAACGTTATATCCAAACAGATTTATCTACATCAGCCGACTTTGGCAAATAAGGATATAATTGTTTGGCAGTTAATGTGAAGAATATATTATTCAAATACGGCTTCTTGTCAGTATGAATTTATCAGGATGTTTGTAATGTTAGCTATTTCTTGTCTTTATCTAACCCAAGATGTTGTGACATAGACCATCAGATATGGTCGGAGAATGTGAAACAAAACTCAAATTTAGGACTGTAAAGGTCGCTGAAGTGTTTTATTTGAAATGTATCTATCACAAGTATCAGTAAATGCATCGTATTTCTCTCTGCTCTTTCGGGTGTTCCGGTTACCGTTTAGTGACTGGGGGTGGTACAAAGGTTGGTCTTATGAGAGACTTTGCCTATTGTATACTTCCCTCACAGAGTACCGTGTGTGTCTGGTTTGCCCTTTCTATACTGATTTGACACAATCCCTATTACCTAAACAATATTACAATTTCCCGTATTTTTAATTTCTCTACCTACTCTCCTCTCATATTACAACTTCATTATCATATTCAGCGCAATATCTTTTTTTTAGCACTTCAAAATCGTAAGACGTTTTTAGGAATATGAGCATATCTGTTGATGCCAAATGTAAACGTCGCCCAATTGTAATAAAGAAGTTGCTCATCCATAACAATTTTGTCTTAGTTATCTGGATGAAGTTATTACCTGGGGCTCCCTTCATTCACGTACAATGTAAATAGCGATTGTGTAAGGGGCCAGTGACTGAAATAAAGGGCATTCACTCCTTAGCACTAGCTTTGGATACTTTGGTCTGTTCGAACAGGGGTCCCTAAAAATGCATGGACCCTTTTGTCAAGTCAGGCCTTGTATACTCCAAAATAATGCCAGTCCCTGTCATGTCTCAGTGGATTCATCCCTGATACTTTCACCATCAGCTGATCACCAGCGTCCAGCTGCACCAATCCATGAACATCACTGGAGTTCTCCAGACTTGACCCATCAATGATGCTGTTTTTGTTCTCGCTGATGACATTCCTCAATACTGCTTCTTCCTCTTGCTTCAGTGCACTGTACCGTGTTATATTATGATGAAAATCAGACTCAGCATCGTCATGATTATTTCTTTCTGTGTAAAACTTGATGTGGCTGTACACGGCATACACTCCAGTGGCGGGAACTATGATGCTGCCATTCTCATACTTCATCCCGTTGTACAAAAGTTGTCTCCCAGGTCCGACAAAAGGTACCCAGTTTCTAATCGCAGTTTCCTCAGATGTGTCTACTGAAATGTAATATCGAAGTCACGTTTTTACTACATATTTAGTTCCCTCTTAATAAGGTGTCATTTTATTAATATTGAAAGAGCGTGTTCAGCTACAATACCTGTTGAGAAGGGAGAGCCAGGTTTGGTTTTGTTCGTTTGTTGTTTAACGCCGCACTCAGCAATTTTCCCGCTTTATTGTGAGTGAGTGAGTATGGCTTTACGCCGCTTTTAGCAATATTCCAGCAATATCACGGCGGGGAACACCAGAAATGGGCTTCACACACTGTACCCATGTCGGGGATCGAGCCCGGGTCTTAGGTGTGACGAGCGAACGCTTTAACCACTGGGCTACCCGACCGCCTATATGTTTCAGGAAAATGGAACGTTATACAGTGACCTTATGGATAAACATAATAATATGTACATACTGGTATATCGACTTAATAAGTGTCATTAGTTCACCGGTTAAAAAAAATAAACAATGAAAGTAACTGAAGCCTCTTTGAAATTTCACAAACACGAAATTGCGATAGGGGAACGGTTATGTTATTTTCATAAACAACATATTCATTTTTATATCAGGGTTGAAATGTAAAACAGTGTCAAACCTTCTCACAATGTACTTTCTAAAATATGATTTCAAACATCTGAAAGAACCAAATCGTATGACTGACTGAGTATCCATTTAAGCCGCTTTTAGCAATATTCCAGCAATATCACGGCGGGGGACACCAGAAATGGGCTTCACACACTGTACCCATGTCGGGAATCGAACCCGGGTCTTCGGCGTGACCAGCGAACGCTTTAAACGTTAACACTGGGCTACCCGACCGCCCCACCAAATCGTATGAATTCAAGTACTTTTGGTTGTTAACTATTCACAAAGGTAGCTTCACACAGAGTATCCATCTGAAGAAACAAACTTTGGGATGAAGTATTCACTATAATCTACAATGCAATGATAAAAGTATTACTTCATTATAAGACACCGTGTGCATGCTGTGATATGACATGGGTCCATGTATACCTTCTGTATGGCTGGTGAAGTCAAGTCCAGGGAAATATGCGATGGGTTTCAGCAGATTCAGAAAGGCTGTAGATGAACTCGGTTGTCCCTTGTCTGCAACAGGTTGACATATTTATACATAATTAAACATATATGTGTATATGTGTGTATGTGAGTGCGTTTTCAAATGAGACGAAGATATGGCGTCAATGCGAAAAGGAATGCGTTATTGAAATTAGCGTGAAATCCCGATAGTTCGGAAACTACTCGTTCTGGTGATGACTGTTGATTGACTGGGAACGGCACTCCCTGTATTCACTGTTCACATATACACGAGAAGGGTGCAGACAAAAATAGAAATAAAATCAAGGCGAACAAGGATTCGATCTAGGATCAAGGGTTCCTGGCACGCCTTATTGACGCAACAGCACACAGCTAACTGTGGCCCATTGGCGACGGTTAGTTCGTATCACTTTCAAAACGAACAAATTGAAAAGAAATAAAATTTCAGACGTTTTTTCACAGTAAATATATTGATGAAAGAATTTGCAAAAATAATACATCACGAAAAAGAGAGAAACAAATGTTATCCTGTACATCAATTGTAAAAGATTACAAATGACTTTCAAATCCAAGAAAGTGATTTCGTTTTGTGTTTCACTGGCGCTCAGGGAGGCAACTCCTATACTCGATCGTCTATACCGTTTGCCTTACAATATGGCGTGCCCGTGTTTATGTACGTACATTTAAAAGAGGCGATTCCGCTTGAAAGAGGTCCTGTTTCGTTAAAGATACGCTAAAAAACGGTGTGTGTGTGTATGCGGGGGCGTTTTTTTTAGTGTATCATCAGTATCTCTAAGAGGGACATGTGTTGAATCAACCTCCACATATTTTCTGCATTTTTGTTAAACATAAACGTTAATTAATTTATCGTATCTGAAAAATTGTCCACGATTTTATATTTTATTTTTGCAATAGGCCTAGTATTTAAATCAGAAAACGGTCCAAAAATACAAATGTAGTTTTTTATTTATTTTATGTTTCCCTATCTGACTGTTTCAGGGGTGCTCCAATCCACAGGACAAAACGAAGGTGTGGTCCAAGGCGCCTGTTCCATCCGTGCCCGCCTTAAATTAGCATGATGTATACTGTGTGTTTTCCTCAATGGTTATTTCCATCATGGCGTCTGTGGCAGCTGTGTGTGCCGTTATATGCTCACCTGTTCCTGCAGTGGCGAACTTGTGCCAGGCTTTCTCCGAATGTTCAGCGTAGATCTACAGTAGAGAATTGATCGAGATAAAGCGGCCCGGAAAGTTAGGCATTTTATTGATGCGTAGCTTTTATATAATCTTTAATTTAACTCTTACAAAGTCAAGTTGTTGCTTGGAAATTTTCGAACAATCTCATTAAAATCAGATCTTAGTTCTCGCTATTGCTAAACAAAGATCTGAGGACATCCCATTACGGGTCACGTCAGACCGACCAATGGAAGGAATGACAAGAAGTCGACATTAGCCAATCAGAAGGCAGCTTTCTCGTGCTTTACGGCACTAATTTCAAATTGGCGACTACCCTTCGAAACATATTTTGACAAATTCTCGATTAAAAAATTGATCAAAACCTGATCAAAAGAACATTCTGGAATGGCAAATATATGGTCTAGATTGTATGGATTCAGTCGTTAAACCCGTAACTATCGTTCGGAATACCCCGTGTTAGAGTTTTCGAGATTGCATCATTAGAAATCACATTCCGAATGTCACTTTCATGATCTGGTAAGCGACTCTCTGATTGGTCGGGTGAAATGTCGTTCTGACGTGTCCCCTAATGGTATGTCCTCAGATCTTTTGTTTAGCGGTAGCGAGAAATAAGATCTAATTTTAATGAGATTGTCTTTCGACCAGCTTTTTATTGATGCATTGTCAAACGGAGTTTTAGAAAATCTCGCATTCAAATTCGGGTTGGTGAATTCGTTTGAAGTAATGAGGGATTATGTTCCATTATCCAGTGCCCATATCAGTCTTGATAAAGCCATCATGCTTATTACCATGACCCGTGGGGTGAGGTGAGGTGAAATGGGGTTTAACGTCGCGTCCAAGATTATTGCACTTATATAGTGACGTGCATGTACGTGTGAGTGTTTGCGTGGCTGCTTGTACTAGTCAGGACTGATGCCGATTTATAGTGCTAGCTCACTGAGATACCATGCCTCAGTTTAACATGAATATCCCACGCAGACACAGTATACTGACTCCAAACCGACCAGTCCTTGTTTTAGCCCCTTAATGCCGAGCGCCAGACAGGGTAACAACAAGTACCATCTTTTAACGTCGTTTGGTATGACGCGGCCGCGGATCGAACCCCGGTCCTTCCGCTCTCCGGCGGACGCTCTACCACAAGACCACGGAGGCGGTCTCAATGACCCGTGAAGATCCGGGGTAGAAGGGTCTTCAGCAATCCATGCTTGCCCTAAAAGGCGACTATGCTTGTCGTAAGAGGCGACTAACGGGATCGGGTGATCAGGCTCACTGACTTGGTTGATGTATGTCATCGATCCCAATTGCGTGGATCGATGCTCGTGTTGTCAATCAGTGGATTGTCTGGTCCAGAATATTGCTGATTGCGGCGTTAAACAACATACCAAAGCTTATAACCATGTATTAAAAGACGCCACTTTTTCAATGCAGTCATGTCAATCTTGGACTTCAATAGAGATATACACCACATGTTTGAAACAGAATAGAGACAACATGGGTTTTGATGAACGCTTGCTTTTTTAAACATTATTTCACTCATATCACCGTCTTAATGATTGACGATTTTGTTCACATTGATGAGTGACGAGTACCATGTATCTGGCCATGGATCCTTATGGAGGAGAACTTAGGAATCAGAGGATACTGGCATAGTAAGGGCGCGTAACTCTGCGAGTTGGGGCGATAATCTTTAATGTAACTCTTACCCGCTCAAGTCGTCGCTTGAATATTTTCGACTGACTGATATGCGTATCCGTCCTATGTTCTTGGCCCTCTCTTGACGCAACAAGGCAGATAACTCCGATCCCCACAACTATGTTGAGTAGAAGTACAGTGGCAGCAACAACTTTAGGGAGTATGCCCATGATGAATGACGGAGTGGTGAGCCTTGCCTGAAGCAAACACGGGGGTAATGATACACAAGGTTACCTTGTGACAGAGTGAGTTAAAAAGTGAGTGAGTGAATAAGTGAGCCTAGTCTGAAGCAAACACGGGAGTAATGATACAGAAGGTTACCTTGTGACAGAGTGAGTTAAAAAGTGAGTGAGTGAATAAGTGAGCCTAGCCTGAAGCAAACACGGGAGTAATGATACAGAAGGTTACCTTGTGACAGAGTGAGTTAAAAAGTGAGTGAGTGAATGAGTGAGCCTAGCCTGAAGCAAACACGGGGGTAATGATACACAAGGTTACCTTGTGACGGAGTGAGTTAAAAAGTGAGTGAGTGAATGAGTGAGCCCAGCCTGAAGCAAACACGGGGGTAATGATACACAAAGTAACCTTGTGACGGAGTGAGTTAAAAAGTGAGTGAGTGAATGAGTGAGCCTAGCCTGAAGCACACACGGGGGTAATGATACACAAGGTTACCTTGTGACGGAGTGAGTTAAAAAGTGAGTGAGTGAATGAGTGAGCCCAGCCTGAAGCAAACACGGGGGTAATGATACACAAAGTAACCTTGTGACGGAGTGAGTTAAAAAGTGAGTGAGTGAATGAGTGAGCCTAGCATGAAACAAACACGGGGGCAATGATACACAAGGTTACCTTGTGACAGAGTGAGTTAAAAGTGAGTGAGAGAATGAGTGAGGGTAGTCTGAAGCAAACACGGGGGTAATGATACACAAGGTTACCTTGTGACAGAATGAGTTAAAAATGAGTGAGTAAATGAGTGAGCCTAGCCTGACGCAAACACGGGGGTAATGATACACAAGGTTACCTTGTGACAGAATGAGTTAAAAGTGAGTGAGTGAATGAGTGGGATAATATTATCTTATGCCTCAGTCAACAGTTCAGTTATATGACGGCAGTCACTCTTTATAATCAGAATGGTTACATATAGAACCACGCTTCTTGAAGTACTTAAACAAATCAACTTTGAATATCAGCTTTATTGAATACATGATGAAAACTAAATATATGGCTATCCTTTATGACATGAGTCTTCATATGCGACGCCATTCGTTGAATCAGAATGAGTGATTTGAATTTGACCCCGCTTTTAGCAATATTCCAGCAATATCACGGCGGGGGGAACCAGAAATTGGCTTCACATATTGTATCCATATGGGGAGTCGAACCAGGCTACCCCACCGTCTACGATGAATCAAAATCAACCATTAAATGATGTTCAGGAAATATCCCAACCATCTGCGAAGGAAGTATACTCGTCATTCACTTCTAAAGAATCGTTATCCATAAAAATATAAAATAGAGAGAAACAGCGGCACACAACTGATGTTTGTTTCGATATGTGCAAGTACATACAAAGATATTTTTACGACGTGGCAATTTCAATTCTTTCATGATAGAAAACAGAATACATGGGAAATATGACCGGCGAAGGTCTTCAAAAACCCATGCTTGTCGTAAAAGGCGACTATGCTTGTCGTAAAAGGCGACTAACGGGATCGGGTGGTCAGGCTCGCTGACTTGGTTGATGCATGACATCGATCACAATTGCGTGGATCGATGCTCATGATATTAATCACTGGATTGTCTGGTCCAGACTCGTTTATTGACAGACCGCCGTCACATAGCTGGAATATTGCTGAGTGTGGCGTTAAACAACAAACTCACCAACCAACATGGGAAATACCCAGTTTCAAGCATGGTCTCCAGTCCTTGCAGAGTTGTCTCCCTTTCACCACTTCAGCCAACTGTCCTATTGCGCAATATTTATTTTTCTTGGGTGTAATATTCAGACGCTGTCGCAAGGGATAAAAAAAGCAAAAACAGATCAATTTCTTGAGGTTTATTATTAAACCAGATTCCGGTTCTTTGCTTTTCAATTCAATAGTATTACTAAATAAAGGACTATTTTTAAACAAAGAGTTATACTCACAAATAGAGCTTGAATTAAAAAAGCCAAACACGCAGCCAGTTCTCCAGTAAACTCACTTAAGATACCATCCAGCACACGTAATCTGTAATACGTCTCTTTTAGTTACCGTTATACCAGTATGATTTTCACAGGGAACACACAATCAGGGATGTTTATTCACAAGGAAGAAACTTGGGCAAACCCTCACGATTGTGAAAGTAGGAAAACAGCAGTTGGCTGAATTGAGTCAAAGTGGGAATACGTAATCTTCTCAAAATACGAAATCGGACTTTCCTGAGAAAACAGTGACATATCATGATACATTGTGTCATACACTGTAAACTTAGCCCCACATCTTAATGATGTTTTTGCTAAAGGGACTACTCATATATCTTGGGGAGAGGGGGCTGGTAAGATTGAGCGTGAGAGGGGGTCATAAAAAATGAGACAGTGCTATTTGTTTCAAATAAGAAAACATATATGTTTGAACATTACGCGGGGACTGGTCTCTTATTATAGGGAGGGGCATGAGAAGATGTTACATTATTTGGGGGCCATAACAACATATTACGTAAAATAGGGATGTTTACCAATACACCACCTCAATCTCATCCCCTGTCAATCCACCCCCGCCCACCCACATCCGCCTATAATGACTTACCAGTCTCAAAAGATCGTGTTTTAGCTGGCTGTAACTGTGCAACTGTGAGATAGCAGGCAATCTCATTAAAACCAGATATTAGTTATAAAAACAAACAAACAACTTAACAGACAGTTTTATTGCTTGCAATTTTAAAGGTAAATGGAAATGGATGTTTAATAATATTTGCGCAGTATTTGGCACCCCTTCGTTGTCTGCAAGAAACCCAGTTCGCCCTGATTAAGTCCCTTGGTCGGTCAGCACTGAACTCGTGGATTTCACTTAAGCTGTAAACATCTAAAACTTGCATCACTTGGTCTTTCTACCGCCATATTAAACTGACACGCAATGATAAAACACATTTCGAAGCGGCATTATATCCAATTCAAGATCAAGATCACTGAGCCGTTCCCATATATAATTCGTCGCTAAGGCGAAAAAATCAGGGAAAAGATTAGTATATTATCCATGGCAATGTTCCACATACTTACAGTTCTACTGAGGTTTTGTTATTTTACAGACGTACACGTTGCTTCAAGATTGTGTCGGAACGTCAGTTTACCGCAAAAGAAAGCGGAATTATACAATGTTTTATACATGCACTGTTAAACGATAATTGCAAGTGATTCCATACTTGGTGTTTCCATAAACCGGAGAAAACTGAGGGCCATGTCCACTAACAGTGAAAGAGTGAGTTGGGTTTAACGCCGCTTTTAACAGTATTCCAGTTATATCGCGGCGTGTCAGCTTAATGTGGGAGGAAAGCCCGAAGTGATGCAGGTCTCAGACGTTTACCACTTCGGTGAAACCCACGAGCACGGGTATGGTGCTGACAAACCTAGAAACATAATTGGGGCGTACCGGGATTCGAACCCACAATCACAGGTTTCTGGCGTGCCCAAGGGACGCAACTCATCACAGCGAATCGCGGCACCTTAGACGACTGGGCCACCCGTGCCTCTTGTCCACTAACAGACTGTAACTTGATTGGATGACATTTCCGCTTGTTACCGACTTGTATCAAGGTTGTGTTCTTATTTTTCTGCTTCAATTAATCTGTAAATGTGTGGATGTGGAGATTCGAAATACGTTTCAAAGATAAAAAAAATAAAAAATTAGAGAAAACATTCTGCCAACTTGATTGCGTTTCTGTACACACGTCACATGTACACAGGTACATTCTATGTCCGCTTCAATCACTTTCATCCCATTTCTTCACCAACATCAAATGTGGCAATGTGGTGGCACAACTGCAATAATTATATTACAGAGAAGAATCGGACCATGTCAACAAATTCATGATTTGTAACAACTTTTGATGAATCTGTGCACTCAGTTGTTTGTTGTGCAATTTCCCAGAAATGTAGGAAATGTGTGATAAACTGATCGATTACCGCAGATTCATATTCATAACAATACTCATGTGAGGATGCAAAATGTTTCTAATACACAACAGAAACTAGTCAAGTAGAAAACAACATATTTAGCTAACCTTGTTACATTCTTGTACACATAAACAGCACATAGACAGGTAACTTCTATGTCCGCCTCAATCAATACAATCACATTACATTTGACAGTTTAAATAAATATGTCACACTTACAAGTTTACACAATGTCATGTTTATTTTATTTCCTATGTGAGGGCGTTATAAATAAGTGACTTCTTGGAGTCAGTCATGGTGATGTCCACCCCGCTGACCACCTTCATGTTGACTGCGTCGACACCTGACTCCCCAACACTAAACATGGGGAGAAGAGACTCCCTCCACTCAACATCCAACTTGGCCAAAACAATCTCCTTGTCCAGATCGATGAAGGCGAGTCTCCCCCTCCCCACATCCAGCACAACGCCATAGTGGAGGGTGGCCTGTGTGCCGGGTGTGCCAGATATTGTGTTTCTGTAACACTCCTCCCACTCCCCCTGCTGACACACGCTGGTACAGATACTCCCCCAGTGTGTGCCACAGCTCCCTACACTGACACACCAGGAGCGGTGCTGTACAAATACATACTGCCCACTGTCCACCTGGCTCTCCTCCCCTACACCCATCTCCAGGACAACAGGCCAAAACCATCCACCCAGCGCACCCAGCACACCCACCCTGGAGTGGGTCTCCCAGTATCGTGGTGTGTGTGGGGCAGGGGTGACATTAGAGGGGGGTGGAGTAAGGGGGATGGGGGTGGAACTACAGATGCCGCGGTATGTCTGTAACCTGCCGCTGTCCCTGTGTCTCCGTAACCTGCCGCTGTCTCTGTGTCGTGTGGCGGGCGGCGAGTTGACCAGCTCACCGTCTGTAGTTACGTGGCAGCAGTCTGTGTTGGCTCGAGCAGCGTCCAGTTGTAGTTTGGGACCTGGAAATATACATTTTGTTTACAGTTTACCCAAATTCCTGTCTTCAGATAACAAATGGAGCAGCTCATTGTGAACCTCGTTTCAATGTTTCAAAACACCACACTGAACGATCGGCTGTCTTGTTCGTCTGTCTGTGAATTTCATTGTTATTGGGGCTAAAATACAAATAATTTCACTGTGAAAGTATTTGTATGGGTATTTTCAATGTTTTACATAAATTCTTGTATGGATTGACAATGAAATATTTACTGCAGAAAACATGTTGTTAGTTAAGCTGGTCTGCTGTCAGTAGTCAGAAATAGACACTTGTAGACACAACAATTTGTACTGATGTACGTAAATAATTAGTTGTTAATTTTCTTCCTTTTCTCCAATGTCGCCGTGGCAGAAGTCTACATTCGTGAGCCTACAGTGCGGACGTTGCGGGTTCGAATCCCGCTGGCGACAAACATTTTTCATGAAATTGTTCTATCATCAAGATAAATGATAGAGGGAAAAAGAAGTTCAGTCATTGCCAAGTGGCAAACTAACAATTCAGTCAGTTAGACCACGGACAAAGGAGCCATGGTTTAAATATATTTAGCATCTAAGTCAACGGGTGAACATACAGCGTAATTGATGACATATGCTTATTTCACTGTAAATGGCGGAATAGCTGAACGAACTTGTTATCCATATTCAAATCATACCCGTAAATATTCAAATATGTATACAAATTAAAGTATAAACTTTCACCTTTAATCAATGATCAACCATTTCCAGCCTTCTCTCTACACTTCTCTTCTCGGTGTAGGCGAAATGATTTATTATATGAGGACATTTTTCGATAAATATTTTTTTACTGCTTCATGCAGTATGATATTTACTGCAGCGCATCAATATCTTTACATGCTATTGTTTTAAGTGTGGGCTTCCATCTTACCGAAAGCATTGACATTAAACAAACTAGCACCAGTAATTTGACAAACAAGACACATGAGCTAAGACTTAGTTCTAAAGGTTAACAAAGATAATGATATTATCGGCCCTTGTTTTAGCCATTATACAACATGAATCTTTGTTATATTGAAAGAGCATGTTCAGCTACAATACCTGTTGAGAAGGGAGAACCAGGTTTTGTTTTGTTCGTTTGTTGTTTATCGCCGCACTCAGCAACTTTCCCGCTTTATTTTCAGTGAGTGAGTATGGTCTTACGCCGCTTTTAGCAATATTCCAGCAATATCACGGTGGGGGACACCAGAAATGGGCTTCCCACATTGTACCCATGTCGGGAATCGAACCCGGGTCTTCGGCGTGATGAGCGAACGCTTTAACCAGTAGGCTACCCGACCGCCCTCCACGCTTTATAACGGCGATCTGTAGATACTCGAGTATGGACCAGACAATCCAGTGATTGACATCATGAGCATCGATCCACGCATTTGGGATACGATGACATGTATCAACCAAGTCAGCGAGCCTAACGACTCGATCCCGTTTGTCGCCTCATACGACAAGCATGGGTTGCTGAAGACCTATTCTAACCCGGATCTTCACGGGTCGGGAAAGCCAGGTAGGTCTTGCACATGTTTGTACCAGTGAGACACATTAAAGTCGTTGATGAACAAAATCACGACTAGTTTTCCAAGCTTCATGTCATCCTCTTGACGAGAGATCTCCGTGGCTGTTAGTGACGAAACTTAACGGGTGGACAACATCAGTGCACGCAGTATCGTGTCCTGTGTTTAAAGAGGAGACAACCTCAGTTCACACAGTATCACGGCTTGTGTTTTAACAAAACAAAATCACGACTGGTTTTCCAAGACTCATGTTATCCTCTTTCTATAGCAACAGATGAGAGATCTCCGTGTCGCAGTTTAAATGGCATATATGACAGGCTTGCTCGCTGTCACGTTTTCTCGCCCTACACGCATCTCGTTTGGTCAGCTCTTCTGGGACACACGCGCGCGCCGTGTGCACACATATCTACCAACCTGCAGACGGGGACATTACCGGCTCGTTGCTTCCTCCAGAGTTGTTTTCGGCCGCATCGTCAAACGTTTACACCCACTTCGCTAGTTGTCATGAAGTGCAATTTCAGTGTAACAAGAGTGTTATCTATCTAACGCCTCTGTCAGTCAGGGCAAT